CCGTCACACGCTTGAGGTATTCGGCCAATCACAATGCACTGGATAGCTGGCCAATCAGAGCACACCTCGTTTTTCAGACCGATGAGCTTTGTAAAAATCGACGCGTTTCAGAAAGGCGGGGCATAGAGGAGAAACAATAATGTACAGTATGTGGAAAATAATGTTTTTTGAACCTTAAACCGCATAAACACATTTCATTACACCAAATACACAAAATAATGTTCTTTTTAGCAACATCATATGACCCCTTTTTAACTTTTTATTCACTTTTATCTTTTATTGCCTTGTACTGGTGTCCTGTATTAGTTCACAAGCTTTGTGTTGACACGGTTGAGTAATTGAGAAAAGCAATTTTTCTTTTCATTAAAGGTTGAAGAAGACCCACAGAACATTTCATCTGCTGCTGCTGCACCTAACGTCCTGCAAGACATCAGCACAGAGCCATCGGGGTTCAGCACAGTCAGTGGTTCCTTCACTACTCCACCCAGCACTGAGGCCACACCGCGAATGATCTCAGAAGAGCCAGGTGCTACAGATTGTGTTATTGCATCATTTCCATTTATTAGTGGTGCTTACTAATGCAAGCATCACTATTATTATTATTATTACTCCGATTATCTTATACTTTCTTTTCACACACTCTCTGTGTTCAGTAATAGCGCTGACTGTGTCCATTAGTGGCCCTGTGGAAGCAACACTGCCTCAAAATACTGTTGAACTAACTGCTTCTGTAAATCACGATGACACTGCAGGTATGGCCTTCTGCATTCTAAATTATGTACATTCCTGAATCATAATTATGCATTTAAAGTGCATTTTTCCTTAGAAGCTCCTTACACGTATGAGTGGACTTTGGTAACCTCACCGGATGGACATCATGGAGTAATGGAGGGGCGGCACAACAAGTCTGTCAAAATTTCAGAAGTGAGATTCAACTCCTTGTCACTTTCACTATGACTGCCAAGTGATAATTTCGAAGATGAGACAATTGTCTTTTTTCTAAAAAAATCTTTGTTTCCTTTATTGCAGCTTTCAGTGGGTGTTTATACCGTCAAAGTGAGTGTGAAAGCGCAACAAGCGTATGGAGAAAGTGCTGTGAACTTCACAGTACGCTCTGGTACACCTGCACCCTCTTTAGATCATACTTTAATATTATTTACCAAGCATCCATTATGTTTATGTGCCTTATTTTTCAATCTACAGCAGTGAATATAAACAAGCCTCCAAAAGCCGTCACTCTGCCCATGAGCCAAGATGTGCTTCTCCAAGAAGGTCCCATCTTCATCATTAATGGCAGTCGTATGTAGCTTGTGTCGATTTCTCTCCTTTGTTCCTTTACATCATTTAGGTCATGAGTTTTTAACCAAACATACATCTCGATGCTTCCCAGAAAGTGTGGATGATGCTGGAATAGTCAGTTACCTGTGGGAGAAGGTGGATGGCCCTTTTTGGCAACCTGAAGGCCCTGTTGATACACCTGTACTGCAGCTACAAAATCTTTCACCAGGAGAATACACCTTCAAGTAAGGATTTAGCTTGTCTTCAAGATTGTACTCTATGAATAGGCCTGTGTATTGTGCAGTTTTCAATTTTCATTCGCTGTCTCTTTAGCTGTTGAAATCTTTGGTGGCCAATTCCTCTGGGGCTTTTTTAATTTGGTTTAAACTCATTAACTTTATCCTGACCTGATTTTTGTTTGGCCCGCATCAGGCTGACAGTGTCTGATTCTGATGGGCTGACCGACTCCAGCACTGCCACAGTAAGGGTCAGCATACCAAAAGATGACCCTCCTCGGGCCAGAGCAGGCGCTGACCGGGTCGTCACCCTGCCTGTCAGCCACCTCACCTTGTGGGGTAACCACAGCACGGATGACCACGCCATTACAAGCTACCTCTGGACTCTCCATCCCAGAAGCCTGACCCAAAAGGTCTCCATGCAGGTAATAAGATCTTTACTTTTTCTAGTCCACAGGTGTATTGTTTTGAAGTTGGTCTTTCATTGCTAAGGACACTTTTTGGAGTTTGTCAGTTATGGTTAATATTAATCCTGCAGCACTAAATCGTATTTGCTGAAACAACTGTAATGCAATTTGTGAATTTAGGTAGACAAAAATGTTGAGCAGTTGATGTATTCATATGCTACTTGTTTTCAGGATGTGAGATCACCATTCCTGCAGCTCTCGGATCTCCAGGAGGGTCGGTACATGTTTCAGCTGACAGTCACTGACTCCAGAGATCAACAGGATTCAGACACTGTCTCAGTCACTGTTCTGCCTGGTAAAACAAACCCACTTCACCTATCAGTGTGTATGAAGAAAAACTATGCATCCTTTATAATTGAATTTTTTTTTGTGTGGTAGCAAACAAAGCACCAGTCGCTATAACAGGACCAGACAGGCAGCTTCTCCTCCCACTCAACAGCATCACATTGAATGGCAGTGACAGCACTGACGATCAGGCCATCATCAGCTACCAATGGAACTTGATCAGGTACCAGCACACTGACTCACTGACTTGGCAACTAGTGATGTCTGGTCAATGAATGAATCATCTAGTAGTTGGTTCTTTACAATGAACTGGTTCATGGACTAAATAATTTGTTTTATATATATATATATATATATATATATATATATACAGTATATATAAAAAACCTTTTAGGGTGATTATTTCTCTCACAGATTAAATATTCAACACAAAAATATCCTTCAAAAATATTTCCTTTTTGTGTTCCATAGAAAAATATCTGCAATAAATCATGACAGAGTTTTCATTTTGGGTTGAACTAAGGCCCATATTAGGCAGTCTTTTTTACTCTGATTAAATTGGTCATGGACTAAATAATTTGTTTTATATATATATATATATATATATATATATATATATATATGTGTGTGTGTGTAATGTATTATTTTGTTATAAACATTTTATTTACCATGATTCAGAAGTTTGGCCTCGGTAAGATTTTTTAAATGTTTTTGAAAGAAATCTCTTATACTCACCAAGGCTATATTTATTTGATTAGAAATGCAGTAAAAAGAGTAATATTCAAAAATATTATTACAATAAAAAAACATTTTCTATTTAAATATATTTCAAAATGTCATTTATTTCTATGAAGGCAAAACTGATTTTTCGGCAACCATTACTCCAGTCTGCAGTGTCATGATACTTCAGAAATAATTCTAATAGGCTTTGTTATTATCAGTGTTGAAAACAGTTGTGCTGCTTAATATTTTTGTGGAAACCATGATACTTTTTTTCAAGATTCTATTATGAACAGAAATTCAAAAGAACTGCAATAATTTGAAATAGAAATCCTTTGTAATAATGTCTTAAAAAATGTAAAAGTACTGTAAATTCGATCAGTTTACTTTAATGCATACTTGCTGAGTAAAGGAATTAATTTCTTCAAAAAAAAAATGAAAATACCCCAAATTTTTAACAGTAGTGTACATAGGGATTTTATTAAACTATGTTTAAAGCATGGAACATCTGTATCACAGGACATCTGTAAACATGTGAAGTCTTGAAAAGAATTATTTATTGAACCAGTTCATTGAAACAAAAGAATCTATTCACAAAAATCCCAACTCCATAAATAACAGGACAAATGTGGCTTATTGAATGCTTCAGTAGGATCTGTTATTGCTTCATCGACTGTCTCATATTACAGAACACATTTCGAAACATTTCTAAATTTTCACTCACGTTTAGTGTTGCATGAATAGTGAAGGATTTTGGTGAAAAGTGTATTGATGTGCCATCACCACTCTCCTCATATGTAACCGTGAAGTGGCCCTCCAGGCTTGAAGATAAAAGATGCCAATAAAGCAGTTGCCATAGCGACGGGCCTGAGATCTGGGAATTACAAGTTTAGGCTGACTGTGACAGATCAGCAGAGAGAAACAGACAGCGCAGTCCTGACCCTCACCATTAAAGAAGGTGAGTAGAATCAAGCAAGTATAAATATAAGCAACATGCATCATGTATTTCTGTAATTTGAATGTTTTTTCTTTCTTATTTGTGTAAATACACTGACCCCCAAAAATATTTGAACACCTAATCCACATTTAAAATACAGTACATGCAGGTCAGAAAATAGCAAACCAAATGGCATTTATTTTAAAGAAAGACATCACAAGAACACTTTTGAAGAGAAATATTTCACAAAAAGAAGATTGTTTGACGTTAAATAACAAAACGATAGAAAATCTGTTCAAAATTAAAGACATCAAATATTCTAGGAAGTTTCCAGCAATTCTGTGTGTTATTAAATTCACAGCAAAAAGCTTGCCATTGGTTGCCCATGCCAGCGGCAGTCACACACTCACTTTACCCAACAACTCTCTGGTGCTCAGGGGCTCCGTATCCAACAGTGGAACAGCAAATGTGTCTTTTCTTTGGGTCAGAGATGAACAGAGCCCTGCTGCCGGGGTGAGTGAGATATTTGTATTTCTTTCTATACCATTTGCTGCGGCTCAGTGTTTTACCTGATAATCTCTCTTTTTTGTTTCACTTCCATTGAGAGTAGGATGTGTTATATGGTTCAGATCATGAGGCCTTCCTTTACCTCGCCAACCTGGTAGAAGGAACATACCTGTTCCAGCTCCGGGTCACGGATATCCAGGGCCGCTCAAGCATGGCTACAGCTACTGTGGAAGTACGCCCTGGTACGATATTACTCAATCATAGTAGGAAAACAGTTGCTAGATGTTCAGAATGCATCATTTATTTGGCATGTCGTACCTGCTAAGAATACACTACCATTTAGAAGTTTGGGGTCGGGGCAAATTTTTTATGTTTTTATGGTTTCACCAAGGTTGCATTTATTTTATCAAAAATACAGTAAAAAAAACTGTGATATTCTAAAGTGTTTACACAAATTCTAATATGAACATTATTTTTGTGGAAACAAAATTTTTTTCAGGATTCATTGATGAATAGAAAGTTTAAAAAGCATTTATTTTATTCTTTTGTAACATTGTAAATATCTTTACTGTCACTTTTGATTAATTGAATGCATTCTTGCTGAATAAAAGTATTAATTTCTTAAAGCTGCAGTCCGTAACTTTTTTTGGTTAAAAATGATCCAAAATCAATTTTTGATTAAGTACATAACCAGCCAGGGTCCAAAACTATCTCCTTACCTTAGCCCGATTCACATCGGTAAGCTTATAATAATGTTTTCTAATTTGAGTGGTACTGGTAGGAATTTGTGGGAAATTCTAGCATACCGCGGTGTCATTATGCCACATCGGTAAACATAAAGAAGTTGTCCCGGCTAGTAGGCTATATCGCATGTGAGGATCCTGCAGGTGGCGGATCGTTTATAGCCTTTTCTCACAGCAGCTGGAATAATTAAATTTATCATTTTTATTGCAGATTGTAATCCAGAAATTATTATGTGTTTATGAAACACAAGTGCCTGAAATTAGATTATACTCCAGTTTTAAATGTGCATCTGATTACAGATAGCCTATGTGAGATTACACAAGATTTTTTTATTTTAAAGAGAACCAGTTCTAAGGAAGAATAATTTGCTCTTTGGGTTAAAAATAAAAGACAATTAGAGATTACTGTACAGAAATTGAAATCTACACGCTAATACACACCAGCTACATGCAGTGCTGATGTTGTTAACATTAACAATTTGAGAACAAAGTATAACAGTAATATTAATTTGCATGGTTTGAAGTGATATGAGCTAATCGATCGTACCCTTGGCAGCGTGATTTATTGTAATGCTTTTTTCCTCAGTTGGTCAGAACAAAAGTGGCAGACTTGTAACTTACTTGTTCAGATGACAATATCCAGTAAAAATTCATATTTGGGGCATACGTCCAAGACATAGGCTAGAATCTGTGATTCCGAAGTACAGTATCCACACCGGTGTGGTGACTGACATCGCGCTGGAGCCGCACCGACGCACAACCCACGCAAAGAAGATAATTCCGCAAATAACGGCAATTGCAGGTTTCAAACAGAGATGGCGACAAAGAGGCAAAACGTACAGACTGCAGCTTAAAAAAAAAAAAAAAAAACCTGACCCCAAACTTTTGAATGGTACTGTATTTCAGAATGATGTTATCCTTAATAAACCTTTTCAGGATATTTTTACTTTCATGTAAACATTTTAGGTTGCATATTCTGATATTGTCATTTTATTTTCTATCAATTTACAAATTGCTCATTTGATGCCATTGATATTTGTGTGCAGATCCACGCGAGCGAGAGGAGGTGGAGCTTGAGCTGCAGGTGGGTGTGGCTCAGGTCAGTCAGCAGCAGAAGGAGACAGTGGTGAGACAGCTGGCCGCATTACTACATGTTCTGGACTCAGACATTGCACTGAAGGGCCTGCATGGCCAGTCAGACATCAGGTACTACACATACGACAACCAAACCAAACCAAATCTAAATGAGAACTTGTGTGGTTCCTAATCATCATAATTACTAGAGACTAACCCTAGTTTAGTTAAAGTCTACATGTGTTTCTTGTGTTTAGCACAGTATTTAGGTTCTCAGTGCAGGGTCCTGATGGTACATTTCCAGGGCCTAAGCTCGCTCGTCTGCTGAGAAACCAGCTGTTGCGAGAGAAAAGTGACTTCTTGCTCTTTAAGGTCTTAAGAGTGGACACAGTTAGTAAGTGACTTTCATATAATAAATAAAAATGTTGGCAATGCAGTCTTTCTGATTTTAACCTTGGTTGTGAATATTTCAGTGTGTTTGCTGCTGTGTTCTGGACGTGGTCAGTGTGATCCCATAACAAAGAGCTGTTCCTGTGACCCTCTTTGGATGGAGAACCCCATTCGCCGCTTGCTTGATGATGGCGAGAGCAATTGTGGTTAGTATGACCTATTTGTCTCCAAATAAGTTTTTTTATGTAAATGAGAAATTTCAAATAAGATAGCAGCAGGTTCAGTCGTAAGGTGTGGTACATGAAGAGATGCTTCATGCAGCGCTATACTACTGACAATGGACCGTTTTTGCCCATGAAATTTTGCTAATGTGACACCTTTATTGATGCTTTCCATTTTGCTGATGTTCTGTCATGAAAACATTAGAATGTTTTACAGTGATGGAAAGGCTGAGTGCTAATCTTCTGTCTCCTTTCGCAGACTGGAGCGTGTTGTATGTCACAATCTCTTGTTTCGTGACAATCATTTTCCTCTTGTCCATCAGCTGGATTTGTGTCTGCTGCTGTAAAAGGTGATAAAGATTCCATTACTGCATATAGACAAACTGTCTGTTTAAATATGTGGCACGAGTTATGTCATACACACTATCGTTCAAAAGTTTAGGTCAGTAAGATTTTTTTGAAAGGAATGAATACTGAGCAAAGACAAATTAAATTTATGAAATGTGGCAGATATTTATGCTGTTCTTTTGAACTTTCTATTCATCACATGCCATTCTTTTAAAATTTCTATTAAAGGGGTCATATGATGCTTTTTTAAAGATCATTATTTTGTGTATTTGGTGTAACAGAATATGTTGACATGCTTTAATGTTCAAAAAACACATTATTTTTCAAATACTGTGCATTATTGTAGGTCCTCTATGCCCCACCTCTCTCAAACGCTTCGTTTTCTACAAAGTCCCTCCTTCCGACAAGCGCAGTTTGTAACACTCCAAAGAGAAAGGAAAACTTGAAATCGCATAATATGACCCCTTTAATCCGAGAATCTTGAAAAATGGTTTCCAGTAGCACAACTGTTTTTTAATATTGAAAAGAGGTATTTTGTGAGCACCAAATCAGCATATTAGAACAATTTCTAAAATATCATGCGACACTGAGAAATGAGTGAAATTTTTTTTTGTTGCTGTTACAGGAATGAGTTACATTTTAAAATATATTAAAGTAGAAATGAGTTATTTCAAATTTGTAGTAATATTTCACAATATTACTCTTTTTATAGTATTTCCTATCAAATAAATTCAGCCTTGGTGAGCGAGAAAAACGTTAAAAAACATTTTTACCAACCCAAAACTTTTGAACAGTAGTGTATTTTTCCTGTCAGTACTGCAAGTCCAGTATTAAAGGGATTGTTCACCCAAAAATGTTAATTCTGTCATCATTTATTCATGTCATTTCAAACCTGTATGACTACTTCTTTGGAACACAAAATAAGACATTTTGAATTATGGGCTGAAACGCCCCAGTTTTTCATTCCTTGTCAAAAAATCCTAAAGGATTCCAATAAGAAAATTGTCCTAATTAGTATTTCTATCATAATTTGGAACCATTCCAATGAGATCCTTATAAGACTCGAGATTCCTATGAGGGTTTTTTTTTTTTTCTGGGATCCATTGGTATCCTATTTAAATCATTCTCTTTTGTGTACATTGCTGCTGCAAAGAAAATTAACAGTCATAAATAGGAATCTTACAGGAATGGAATCCAAAATATAGATAGAAATTCTAATTAGAATACTGTACAATTTTCTTACTGGAATCGTTTGCAATCGATTTTTTTGACAAGGGATTGAGTTTTTCGTTCAATGTGAAAGAAGAAACCTTTTAAAAATGACACAATCATGATTTTGTGTACCTGTGGTATGAGTTTCTATAGTCATGTGTTTGTTTCGGACTGTTGTAGAGGGAGACGCACTAAAGTGAGGAAGAAAACCAAGTACACAATACTAGACAACATGGACGAGCAAGAAAGGATGGAGCTTCAGCCAAAGTACAGTAAGTTTCAGACCCAGATTAGTTTATGCCACAGTATTTTTGCCGTGAGGAAAGAAGTTTGACACTCTTTGGGGTAGCTCTTTCTTGAGGCTTGTAATTGCAGTTGCTGCATTCACTTTTCTGCATTTGTCATCATTAGACATTAAACACAGGAGCACAGAGCACAACTCCAGCCTGATGATGTCAGAATCAGAGCTGGACATTGAGCAGGACAACCTTTTCAACTACGGGAAAGCTCGGAACAGAGCCAATGGAGCGGTCAGAAATGGAGACACTCTCAGCCTTTGTCCTGTGGAGGGTTGAGTCTCACATGGACACATGGACATTTCTTCATATGGATATTTACAACGCAAGGGTATTGTTGAATATTCCACAAATACAGATGCAGACAAAAGACTGGCTGAAAGAATGGGTTGCTAAACTACTGACTACTGAATACATTTGGTCTTATAATGAATATTCACCGGTTTGCTGAATGATACTTTCAGTTACCAATTGCATATTCTTTTTGGACATAAAAAGACATGTGCAGTCAACTCACACAATCAGAGTTGTTCTCAGTATGTTCTTAATAATGCTTGTATATTTCAGTGACAGTGCAAGCAATTGACATCAGTTATTTTGTTATTTATATGATGCTTCTATGATACATTTGGGGAAGAAGTTGCAAGTAACTGCTGCATAGAAAAGCAAAAGCAAAAAAGAAAGCAAATACCATTCTTCTTTATGCAAAACATTTTATTTCTACTGAACTTTCTGAATGTTAATGTGCCGACTGAAATGCACTCATTTTGTTATGGTTTGTCAGTATTTCAGTCATTGGTCTTTGTCTTTATAGCATTCTGGTTTTACAACCTTTTAAACATTTCTGCTAGGAGATGCATTTCTCCTATATCCTTTTTGTTTTAATGCAGCAGGAGATGCAAAAAATTAAAGACATACAGTATGGCCCTTTACAAAGGTTATAAGACGTTTTATAACCAAAAGTTCAATATTTATAGAATTGAGTTCACATGAATAACAGCAGTGTGTAATTCTGTGTTAATGTGCATATTCTGGCTTAATTTTAAATTAGTGATGAAAATGGCACAACTAAACGAACAGCAGAAGTTGAAATGTTTCTTTACCAAGGCTTTCAGATGCATGTTTAGTCTTTGTACCTTCATGTGCTTATCTGCAAAATTTCACTCCCAAGGTAAGAAAATGAATATACTTATAAACATTTTCATACATATAACACTTCACAATACAATTAGGTATATCAATAGAAAATTAATATTTACAACAATTAAAAAAACATTACAACAGAGAACAGTTAAAAAAACACACTGGCAATTACAACATTTGGCCACAATGACAAATTTGATTAATCTCTATGCTTTAATACCTCAAATCAGAAGTTTCTCAAATCAAATACCTCAAATCAAAAATCAAAAACATCCCATCACAGTCAATGTTTCATTTTTAACAGTCTCAATCTATTTCTAGAATTACAAAAATAGAACACTTAAGTTAAACATTTAAATGATTTTTTAAAAAAGATTGTGCTTTGATTTCTCACCAGTTTAACCCCCATCCCTATATTTATACATACTTTACTTAATTGAACTTAGTTTTTTTTTTGTGGCCAAATGAATTTACACAGCAAAAAAAAAAAAAATGTTTCATTAGTATGTCTTGTTTTCAGTCTAAAATTAAATTGAGTAAAGAATAAACTTTAGATATTCAAGATATATTCTCTCATCTAATCTTACACAAAAACACAAAAGTAAATTTATCCTGCTTGGATAAAAATAATATTTTTTTAGTGTTCAAGATCTTATTTCAGAGCAACAAGGTTACTACATCAATCAGTTATGATGGATGGAATCTCAAAGAGGACTATTTATACCCATTTTTGCAACAAATATCTAAAATATCCTGGCAATGAAATATCTCTGTATAGTCATTATTCAGTTACATATGATTAATAGAGAATGGTTCACATTGGATTCATGTTTTTAGTATTGCTTAAATAATGACATACTGCCTGGAAACCACTGTCCATTTAAAGAGAGAGTCCCCCCAAACACATGTACTTTATTTCTAGATACTCATCAATGCCGTATTTAGATCCTTCTCTGCCAAACCCAGACTGTTTGATTCCACCAAATGAGGTTTCTGTGGTGGAGATCAGACCTTCGTTGACCCCAACCATGCCCACTTCCATCTGCTCAGCCACACGCCAGATCTGACTGATGTCTCTGGAGTAAAAGTAACCTGATGAAAGAAAACCGTTTTTAATATTATGCCACAGAAAGAGACAAGTGATAGAAGGTATGTTGCTGCTGTTTGCTTTACTTGACCATCCAGACACATAAAGGTACAGTGGAGCTGGAAGAAAATATGACTTTTTTATTTTATATAGTCAGTTATTTCTATCTTTTGCTATAGTGTGTCAGTAGGAAATATCAGTTTACATTTCCAAATGTATATACTGCCAACCAAAAGTTTTTTTTTTGTTTTTTTTTTAAAGAAGTCTCTAATGCTCAGCAAGGCAGCACTTATTTGTTAAAAATACAGTAAAAACAATAATATTGTGAAATATTATTATAATTATATTGATAATAAATTTGAATATATTTTAAAATGTGAAATATTTTAGTCTCATTTAAATACATATTCAAGATAATCCTTTTGTTTTTGTTGTTATTTAGTGTTTAGGATGTAAATAAAATGAGAGGTCCTTTAACCCCTTTGTATCCAACAGTATTTCATGATTGGTTAATTTGCATTGTTAAATGATTAACTAGAAAAATTGTAATGTAGTCTATTTGTACATGCTTTCAATAAGGAACAGTCTTAGCTAATAAATAAACAGGCATGTGAGGAAAAAGTGGGCAAACTCAAGACTGTCCAACAAAACTTCTGTAAAATCAGAAACTACACAGGAAAAAAAAAACATGATTAATTTGCACAGATGGACAAACCTGCTAAACCAACAGGAGAAGCATTGGCAATGGCAAGTGCCTCCTGTTCTGTGTTGAACCTGGTGAAGAAAAAAAATTCAGCAGCTGGCAGACATTCACGCTGAAACATGCAGCCCATTAAAACCTATTAACAAAAAATGTTATGAAAAAAAAAAAACAATTTAAGAAATAATTTAAAATCTCATACAATTGTAATAATCAAATGAAAACTAAATATTTTCAGAAACAATTCAAATTAAACTCAAAATTGTTATGCTGATAATATATAAGAAATCTGATAAATATGTAATGTAAAATAAAATGTGTTTTAAATTACTACATTTGAGGTTAACATGAAGTCATGTAATCCAATAAATAGTAAATACTCACTTAACAACAGGAATAAGGGGTCCAAAGGTCTCCTCTCGCATACATTGCATGTCAGTGTTGACATTGGACAGCAGGGTGGGCTGCATGAAGGAGCCCTCCAGTCTCTTCCCACCTCGAACTATGACTGCTCCCTGTGCCACAGCATCTGCAATCTGGTTCTCCACCTGAAGGAAACAATAGCTGATCAACACCATTAAACCCATCATCTTAACCAAATGATCTGTTTGTGTGTGCTTCCAACAGAATCAACTGATTACTGTATCGGCACCTTCTCTGCAGCGCGGGTGTTGATGAGCGGCCCCTGTGTGGTGGCGGGCTCTGAGCCGTGGCCAAACTTCAGTTCAGCATCCATAGCCTTGGCCAGCTTTTCCATGAAAGCATCATGGATCCCACTCTGCACCAAAAAGCGGTTGGAGCACACGCAGGTCTACAGTAGAGAGACAGATTGAGACAGAAGAGAACAGTTGTTTACAGTGACAAAAATATCAAGTATTTACACCATAGTATTTACATGGTGCTCAAAGGTACTTCAAGAATGCTGTGATTCTGAAACATTATGAGTACCTGAAGTTCACTACTTCACTCATTATTTATGAAAAACATTAACTTTTCTTCCTTGAAAATTGTGCTACGGGTCAATGTACGGGTCAAATTTCTCCCCAAAATAAACACGAAAAAATAAACAATATTTTGCATAAATTAATTTATGACTGAAACACACTCACCTGGCCTGTGTTCCTGAATTTGGAAACCATCGCTCCTGCAACGGCTTTATCTACATCAGCGCTGTCAAATACAATAAAGGGGGCATGTCCTCCCAACTCCATGGAGACCCTTTTGACCGTTCCTGCAGCATGTCTTAGTAGTATCTGCAAAAGCATTTACTTAAGCGATTACTAAATTATGGTGAACATTAAATGTTGACTGCACATAGTAATTAGATCTTTACCTTGCCAGTGGCCGTGGAACCGGTAAATGAGATTTTGGCCACGAGAGGGTCCGTGCAGAGCAGCTCCCCCACAGCAGGGGTCTTTTCTCTTGAGCAGGGCACTACATTAAACACCCCAGGAGGAATGCCAGCCTGAACCGACAGCTAGATAAGAAATACAATGGATTATTCATTCTGTCATCTACATATGTAAGATTTTTATTGTTTTTGAAAGAAGTCTCTTATGCTTAAACTTAATTTATTTGTTTAAAAATACAGTAAAAACAGTCATTCTGTGAAATACTATTGCAATTTTAAATAGCAGTTTTTGATTTAAAATTTTTTCCTTTCTCTTTGAAGTGTTACAAGCTCTTGGTGCATAAAGAAGATCTGTAAAGTTGCAAAGACTAAAGTCTCAAATCCAAAGAGAAGCCGTTCCTCACTCTTGCCTGCCGGCCTCCCGCTTACTCTAGCCCTCCGTGTGTGATGCTGTGTGTTCCGTTGTGAAAGCGAAACTACTTTGTTTGGCCTTCCAAAAGAGGACACGACTAGAAATCAGTGGTTAATGAAACCGGGTCCCAGAGTGGATAAATCTGAAAACGCCGCCCTTGTGTTTTCATGTGGACAGCGAATCCGTATATTTTCTGAAACTATGACGTCATCAGCCCACGTCTCGCCCTTAAGGCTGATTTATACTTCTGCGTCGGACCCACGCCGTAGCCTTTATGCCGTAGGCTATGCGTCAGTTTTCATTTATACTTCTGCGTCGTTGTCTGCGTTGACGTGCAGTACACATGCAAACCGCTAGACTGCAGTGTCCACGGGCATGTTGCTGGTGTAACCCACAGTACCATGGCAAAAGCAGAAGAAGAAGTGGCTCGTCGGAGAAGCATTATAGCCGTGACGGCGGCAAATAAATATCAAATCATTATTTAAAACTACAAAAAGGAGACAACAACGGAACAGGAGAAGATGGCATACTTTCAGTCTCCACAAGACTTGTACCAAGGAAGATCAACATTATTTGTCGCAGACAACTACTGATGTATAATGCTATGTAGTATAATAAATGATAAGACACTTGTTCTTTGCTTTGTTTTATTTTATATAAGAAGGTGTAACATTAAAATATATTAATTATATTAAATATATTAATTAAAGTGCACATAAACCCACACAAAACTCAAGTGCATACGGAGGGAGGGGTTCTAGCAGACCAATCACAGCGCTTGCGGTCCGCGTAGAATTGACGCGCTGTTAGATTTTTGGAGAGGTGCACGTCAGGCTACGGCGTATGGGTGTGCG